ATTCGTGTGACTTCATCTGTATTCACGAACTATGAGTAAGGCCTATGGCAAGAGAGAATTGACATGACATACCAGTTCCCATGACTGAGTGTCCTTCTCAGATTTATGTCACTTTGTGATTGGTTAGTTCTAAATAAACTGTTGCAAACACAGTAGTGGGAGTGTTGCCTGAGTTAAAGTGGAGAAGAAAACAATGGTGAGAAGAGCTTTAATTATGGTTGACTGTTGGTAATTCCAGGAGAATTACCCAGTTTGTGTGTCACTTGACTCCCTTGCCTTTTACCTACCAGCCATTTCTCCACTTGAAAGTACTTAATCCCAACAATAGGTAGGTAATAGATAGGACGTGGAATTAAAAATATTTCAGCTCACTCTAGTCAATGATCACTACAAGCAGAATACAGAGTACAGAAAATCCATTTCTAAGTTTATATTTTCCGTATTAACAGCAACTTTCTCCGTCAGAAAATTTACTGCAACTGCTAAATCAAGATTAAATTTCAGGGATTATTTGTGACTTTATTTTGCTCTACTATTTTATTACTCATAAACCATCATGGAAGTGAACAATGACTACTCTATTTGATTTTGGATAAGCTAGCAGGATCCCCTTCTTCTTGGAAAAGGAGTCAAAACTGCACAAAATTGATAGGCAACTGAAAGATGATGCTACCTTCAGATTCCAACAGCCTTTTACAATGGAGGACCCAGTCATGTGTATAAGCATTGGCTATACTTTGGAAAACATTCAGGCAGAAGAACCAGGCTTGAAGTTCCTTCTGTGCACAGCAGATGCGGGTGGGTGCCACATAGAGCTCAGCTGTGTGATGCTAGAGCTCAGACAGGAATGTGTGCCCGTGTGTGGCATGTTCTGATAGCAAAGGTGTTACCAACCAATTGGTCCTAACCTACCTTTCCCTACACCTGGCTACTTTTCAAGGGGCAAACCCACTTCAATGACTCCAGCCTGTATTTGTAGCAGGGAGGATCTTGGTGTTGTGTATGTGGCTTCCACTGCCAGATCAGAAGGGTAGAGAAGAGGCTGGCAAGAGAAGAGAGTGACAAGAATGAACTAACACCCTAAGTTTCAGCTCCTATCTAAAGCTGCTTAGTTCAGGTAAGATCTAGAGATGCCAAGTGAGATTAGAAAACTGAGAAGAAGAGAAAGTGGGGGGAAGGATGGAGAACAGTATAAAGAGAAGCCAGCCAAAATAGTCTGGAGTTCAGATGAGCACCTGAGTTTCAGGATTGATGAAAATATTGTATTAAATTCTATTTTAGCTCCTTATGCCAACACATTTACACAGGAAAGGGTTGAAAGAAAGTAGGCTACAGGAGATCAATGACAAATTGCAATAAAATTGTTTACTAAACTCAGAGTCACTGCCATCTTGCTTCAGTCTATTGATGCTCCCTCTCACCAACAGAGGATAGTTATCAGAGACAGGCTGATAAATACAGTAGATCTCAAAATTTGTTTGTATGGTTACATTAAAACCACTGGCATTTTTAAGAACAATTGCCTAATTGCCTCTTCAGATCTGATTCACACACAAACTGAATGAACCTCATAATGACCTCATTAGTCAAATACTATTTTGAAACCTGGTGCAGAGGCTGAATGCTTATGAGCTTCCTTAGGGACAGGACTTACTCTGAGTCACAGGGAAACCATCCCAGAAGCTAGGTCTACACAACAATGAGCAGGTGCTTGGGCAGGGTGTGGACAGCGCCTATGGCAGCCTTTGAAACCTAATTCTAAGGTTTTTAGAAAAAAAATTCTGTTTAGAAATGCTTGCTGTGTTTCATTAGATATTGGTAAATCAACCTCCTGCCTCACCTCTTTGTCACATTCCTCAGTGCATGGGGAAAACATTTAGGGCTGAACAGTCCAGCGTGATGTGAAAACATTTTCTTCATGAGTGAGAATGGATAACTTTGATTAAGGAGATAAGATTCTCATCACTGCTTCTGTGTACCAGGATGCTGGTGTGAATGCATTATTCATTTGCATATTCAAATAGACTGCTCCTGTCTCTGTGCTGTAGGTGAGAGGTAAACTCACTACTGAATTTTTGAGAAAGTTGTAGAAAATGGCTGATGATCACATGCAGAGGCCTGAAATCTCTCCAGGTCGCTTCTCTGGAGGGATTGCTGTTCTGGTGAGGCAGCCTGTATCACCACCGGTAAATCTTGTCATGTTCTGAAGCTGCTGGAGGGAACTTCGTGACCCCTGGTCTCTGCTGTGCACCATGTCTGTCAACCCTTCTGGTTTTATTTGTCATGCTATTCTTTACCTCACTGCCTCTCTTTTTATCCTCAGCCCAGTGTCCCAGCCCATCCTCCATCAAAACCTGCTCTCAGGAATAGATCGATTATTAGTTTATGTACAATGTGCGGTGATCCTCCCTCTGAGGCATTCATTTCTTTATATTTTTCGATTGACTTTTTAAAATTATGAAATATAACTTGGACACATCAGAGTGCATTCAATATATGCCTGTAGTTTCACAAAGAGAAAATATTGCCTGAGTCTCGGAGACCTCCCTCCCCATCCTTTAACAATACAACCTTCCCTACCCACTAGAGGTAAGTAGAGGCAATCATTTCCTTAACGTAGTCTGCCCACCTATGTAAGCATCCTTAAATATACAATTTTATTTGGCTTGATCTTTTTATAAAGGGAATCTTTTGTATTATTTGCTTCCTAAACCTTACCATCAACTGTGGCATGGGACCCCAAGTCTCCTGTCACAGTGATTTTGGACATCAGTGAGCATATGAGGGCATATTCTGGATGTCTTAAGATAGTTTGAACTGAACGACCGTGACTTGGTATGGAGTACAGTTTCAGAGTATACTAGATAGCAATGGTCTCAGGCAAAGCTCTGGGAACTGTGGCTGAAAGGAGGGAATATGTCCCACTGGATGTCCTGCCAGGACTGAGGGGATTCCCGGCATGTGGGACTTTCAGTGCTAAAACCAGGAAAGTCTCAGGCAAATCTGGATCAGTTGGTCACCCTGGTCCTTCCCTCCATGCGTCAACCTCCGTGCCAACAGTCGTCTCTTGTCCCTACTGTGTTAATTCTGAGCTTTCACTCACAACTGCCCGTTATTCCCAAACCCCTCCCCCCTCCTCCTATAATGAAAATCCCAATGAAGAAGCTATTGTATTATTTGCCTCAGAGGGATGCAACTATCACACTAGAGGGATAATAGCAGTAAAACCCAAGATTCTGGAAAGTAAAATGCTATATAAAAACAGCTGTAGTGATCCAACTTCTTATGTTGTACTGTAATAATATATAATGAAATGCAACAAGGGCAAAATGGGCTTGATGGACGTGGAGGGGGAATTAAAATTATTGAGGGGCTATCCTGCACTGAACGTCATGCTGGTGAATATATATATGTATATATATTTATTTTACATATATTTTTTAACGAAAATATAAAATTACGTATAATATAATTGATCTGAATTCTTGTTTTATGGATGAGAAAATGGGGGCTCAGAGAAATTAACTTACTTGCCCAAGGTCACACAGCCAGTAGAGCTGTCAAATTGGTATTTAACCCTAGATCTAGTATTTTATCTTCATTTATTTCAAGTTTATATAATGATCTCAGTAGTAAGGAGTCAAAATGAGATTGCAGAGCTTATCATGTACAGCAGCAGCCTCCTTTGCCCCTCCCCCTCCCACTCTGCTTCTCACTTAGCAGGAACAAAAACTCTCAATTGCTTTTTTTTTTTAAACCACTTCATTGAAGTATGATTGATTGTGGTGGTGGTTTCACAGGTGTATACTTATCTCCAATCTCAATTGTTTTTAACACTGCTTCTTGTATCTTCCTCTAGACATCTAAATAGCATATGCTAATGCTGCTCTTTTTTTGCTTTTTGCTTTTAGAGACTATCTATAGACTCCCTCTCGTGGTAGGACGCTGTGTTCCCCACTCCACTCCCGGCAACCTCCTCCTAATATCCCTACTAAGATATATCACATGTCTCATTTAGCTCAATATAGCTCAATATTTAAATCATTACAACCAAGAGAATATTATCCACAACTGAGCTCTAAAATGTAATATGATACATACTTCACTGTGTAATCTTTGTTTTCTCTGGAGTTAATGATAATTTTTCTCATTTTTTATTTTTTGTTGAGTTTCCAATGTTCCTATCACTAACGTATTTCCTTTTCTGATGGAGGTCGATATCCTTCCAGGTGTTCAATATGTTCAAACACACCTGTCCCTCTGATAGGACATTCACCTTAGAGAACTTCAAACGGCCAGGATATTCCATTTTAGCTTTAAAACATACAATTAAGATGAAGGCAGGGTGGGCAAACGCTTGTAAGAATAATGTGTAAAGTCAGAAACAGTAGGTAAAGTAGAACCTTACTCCTGAAAGAGTCAGCTCGCCTGCCTCTGATCCCCAATTTCCGATCCAGAGCAGTGCTCTCTGCCCCTACTCTGTTCTCCAGCACTTGGCTCTCTTCACTTCTCTATGACTGACCGCGCTGACGCTCCTCTATGATAATTACATTTACACAAGCTAAAATGCCAATCCTTGAAGTTGAGGCTCTGCGGTATGTATTCCTCATTAGATGCCAAAATCGAGGAGGACTCGAACAAACAACGATAACAAAAATCAGTGACTTAATTAGAAAAGCATGCCTTTCCATAAATAAAAATACCAGTGGTACGCAACATATGAATATCAGTATATACTACATGAAAATACTATGCGAGGTTAAAATCAAATTAAGTAAAATTTCATGCCAAAATTTGATTCAATAAAAAAATATCTATTTTGACTATTTTGAATTGGATCTGTAGCTCATACACTACACACTTCTTTTAATTTGCTCTGTAAAGATCCTGAACGTAATTATGTTTTAATGACGTTATTTAAAACTTCCATGGTCATCACAAAAGGAAGCAGGGAGTGTCTTAGTCAGAGGCTTTATATTTCAGAGTAATGCGAGGAACTCTTTCAGATTCGCCCAACGAGCTGCTAACTCCCTCTATGAAGAGAGTAAGGTAAATATTTCTGAAACCCGCAACTTAAAGTCTTGCCAGACACTTTGAGTGAGAGAAGGAGAGATAGAGAGAGAGAGAGAGAGAGAGAGAAAGACCACAACAGCTGCTTCTCTGTACCTGAAAGTCTGAACTCATCAGATAATATCAAATGGTTGTGTGGTCCTGTTCTCAGCTTCTCTATCTTATGGGTCGTCCACGGCTGACTTTATTTGGTGTCGTGCGGAGAATGGCACGCGCCCCCGTGCAGGGGATCAGGGACAAGTCCAACACTTCATATTCCATCTTAGAATAGATAAATAGCATTTGGGGAATTATGTACAAATCTAGATTCTATATTTGCAGTGTTGTTATTTAAGGCATTATGGGTTGGAGTATACTAATTTTTGAGATTAGAATTGAACTCTTTTAGTCACATAGTGAGGTGCTTGTCTGATTAAGGATTTATCAAAATTTTAAACCATGTTTTTAAAAGAAATGGAAAGATTTGAAGATACTTCTGTAGAGGAGTAACTCGATTTTTAGCATTACATTTGACTTATATGATAAGAATAAAAATTAAGCATGCTCAATAGTAGTTATTCATTTTTTCCCCAATATGTATATTTTAGTTCAGTAAATACAGGACGGTGTTTTTTTTTTTTCAAAACATACCATGAAATATGTTTACTTTTCCTTGTACAGACAAAATTATCCTAAGATTAGACAATATTTTAATCAAATATTTAAGTCACATAATTTATCACTCAGGTATGATAAGTTTAGGTTCAAGAAACATTATTGTAATTTTATGTTTTATTGAATGTGTTTTTCTGTTTTCTTACATTTTATTTAAAAATTATTTTTCTTGCTTTTTGTTAGACTTTTAAAAAAGTTTTAGTGAGAACACATTTATTCTTTTGTTTTGACATAAGTGGTATGTTGACTACAGGAAGGAGGAGGTAAAACATTTCTTGGATTGAAATATACTGAAAGTAAACAAATAGGTTGCAGGCTCCTATGGACTTTTAGATCCTCAAGCCTGATGTTTGGGATTTAAAAACCTTCGTGGATCTTTGTTAATTCATATTAACTTGAAAATTATAAACTAATTACATGTCGGTATATTAAGCTAAAATATTTATGTAAAGAACATAAGAATATGGTATATTTTTATTGAAGTGAAAAATTAACCTAAAGCTGAGTTCTTTCATGATTTGGAAAGAATTTCTTTCATTACTATGTCCAGACAATCACCTACTGGGTAGTATTGTACTGATGTCTTATTCTGTAGCTTAAGGTAATTTATTTTCCTTTTCAACTTCCTTTAGTTATTTAGCTGGGGCTCAAATGATTGGATACTTGTGGATGGCTTGTTTGAATTCAGTTTATTTTTGTTGGTGCTTGTTTATTTTTATTTTTTTTAAGTTGCTGTGGAAAGTAACAAGAGAAAGGAAAAGAAGAGTTTTGGTACTAATACTAATATTTATTCATCTGTCACCTGATGGGACGTTGGGGGTATAAAACAAGTAATTCTGCCTTAAATGTAGTTATCTATTTTCTAATGGGTTTCAGACTTGAGAAGAAAAGAATTTTGCTTTCATTTCTAGACCCTACAGTGCACCTGCATAGAGAAAGATAATAAAAACAATTATGTGAAGTGGAACATACTTTTTGGTATTTATCTTCAAAGTGCATGAACATGTCTGTACAAGAATGTTTTTAAGGATATATTATCTATATTTTGGGATAAAGGCCATTTATCATTTTAAAAGTCATTGCTTGGGAATTTATAGTGGTCTAGGAAGGTCTTGGCTCCTGTTCCTCCGTAATGATTATTTGTGTAGTATGGTTTCTGTGCCATAAAATTTCCCTAAGCCATAAAAATACATACTCAACTCCTTGAGTGAAGGAATCCTGGTGTAGCTTCTCTTCTCTTCAATATGATGGTAGTTTTGTGAAAAGTCACCAGGATGATTAAAAGATTAGAAAATGAAAATTTGTGATTATTTCTTAGAAAGTAATTTAAGAAATGATTTTTAAAAACATGAAAGGATTTTTCCTCCGGGGGTTAAATCATAAGACATAAATCGTAAAGCAACAGCAAGAATTGGGGCTTGACCCAAGAAAAATCTATTGAAAAGTATGTTTTTGTGTTTTGATATACAAAACTAGCAAGTAGCTTCCAGGCCCCATTGGACCATGCAGGCAGGTCCCCAAACAGGGTCATTTTTCAATCTCTCAGGTCTTATTTTAAAGATTCTAGGCCACATTATATCGAATATATTAAAATATAACCATAATCCTCCATTAAATATAACTTGCACTGTAAATATTTGGAAAGGATTATTGTGATTTTGCTTTTAGAGTTACTTTCCTAAGAGTGATTAATTTCATTTACTATGATTTTCGGCAATCAACATGAAGCCTTGGAAACTGTTTGAAGACAGAGAATCTAGCACACAATTTCTCCCTAAAATTAAGGAACTTCTTATGACAACTAAATTTAATATACAAATGAACTTATGCTTCAATTTAGTATATTTACTTATATACTCATTAATTTCAATCATCTTTTTTTTCATATTTTAGAAGCAATGCTTATTTTTCAGATGTAAAATATGATTTTGAGCCCCTGAAAAGTTTGGGGGCTTTAGACACTGCCAGTATTGCTCACTGGATAAAGCCGCCCTGCATCTACCAGGTCCCATCCTGTGTCCTCCTCATCCTGCTAGGAGGGGTCTATCCTGTTGCTCCAATCACAGCTGCCACTGCTTTTCTCCTGGAGTACATGGGTTTGATATGAAATCAGTTTAAATTTTTCTGGATAACTATTAAAAGAACATAGATGTTCTTTCTTGGAGTAAACGGTGTGTGGAGTGTGAACAATTTTCTCACCCTGTATTCCTAGGGGTATAACTGAGAAGTGGGACCTAGAGTGAATTGAAAGTAGCCATTTATGACCTTAAAAAACAGCATCATTTATGGTCTCATGCCTCAGTGATGTTCTCAGGGCTTGGAATTCCAAAGTGCAGAATATGGGTTCCTCAGGAATACTCTGGAAATGTCCAATGTGTTGCCTTTTAGGACAGAACAGATTATTACCATTTTATAGAGAATAATGAATGTAGCAGCTTCAATTCATTGACCAGCTACAATGGATCAGGCATTATACTAGAGTTTTTTCCCAACTTTTTTTAAAACTCAAGTTCCCATTTGATAAAATAAAAGTTGAAAATGTATTTTAATGTCATTTGTAATTTTGAAAGGCGTTAAGTTTTTGTGACTTCAACAAAGTCAACACAGTGGCAATTTTAGAATTTTCTTTTTTCAAACCACATGTATCTCCCTCGTCCTGACCTTCTTCCTTTTTCACACCATGCCCTGACCTCCCTCCCCAAATGCCTGGATATTATGGTGTAGTCCTCTTATAGGGATAAGGGTGGAAGGATGCATGGTATTTTGTCCTGTAAATTGATCATCTCACCGAATAAGATGAATTGTAGAAGCTCAGAGAAGTGAAAGACTTGACCCAAGTCACACAACTATTAGCAACGGGGTTGGGATTAGGCTTGGGTCTTTTAAGAGTCCATGACTCTTGGAACCTGCCACACCATCAGGTGTGATACCATGGAATATTCTAGGGTAATAATGTGGAGTATCCATATTAACTCATGTAGTCTGGGACAACCCTAACTGTAGTGTTGGAATCAGTTTGGGTATTGTGGAGGGAGTCTGCAAAGAAATACCAAAGCAGATTCCTGAAGAATTCCATGGTGGTGGCCCATCTATATTTCACAAAAAATATTATCAAGAATTTGAAGATAATCTCACTTTCATCCTGGATTCTAAATTTGCTATTATACCTTAGGTTCTCTAGTGAGAAATAGACCTCTGTGTCAGAGAGCCTTGTGCTTGTTCGTGATACATAATATGGTAATCCATTTTCCATTCCAAGAAAATCAGAAAATGGCCTGAAAAGAATAAATATATGTATAGGACCAAGGATGCATAGTACCTGACATGAGGACAGTCTGAAAAATGTTAGAATGTGTGATTACGCTAAAAATGTGCATGGAAGCTATGGCAAAGAGAAAGGGTTAGAAAATGATGTGTTAAATCTTCAAATTTTAACATTTTTATTAAATTACAGACAATTTAGAAAGCAAGGGCTATAGCCTCTTGAATAAACTGCCTAATATTATAATATTTATTTTACTTTAAACATCACTTTTGTGCAATTTCAACTTAGAAATCTGGGGTGATTTGAGAAATAGTAGGCCCCATAAGTGTGTCTGCTTAGGACTTGAAAACAGACCTATCAAAGACCACCGAAGACAGAAATGTCACATTAAGGAGAAGCAGGAATATGTCTTGGATACGAATATGAAAGCATAAACAGAAACACAGAAAGATGGCACCAAAGAATATCAATGTAAAAAAAAATGAGTGTATCATAATATCGTTGCCAGAGAGAGAGTTTTAGAGCGTTGGTAACAACAATACTGGAAAAAAGAAATTTTCTTTTTGTTCTAAATTATTTAATGGTTATATCCAAGGTTGAAGAAATGAAGCTTCAAATTTAAAATATAAATGAATATAAAAACCATAATGTTCACAGAAAATGTACTCGGAACTCATTTCATTTTCTTGTTGTTCTCCAGGCTGCACTCCATTTCACAATGGCTTCCCTTGCTGCAGCAAATGCAGAATTTTGCTTCAACCTGTTCAGAGAGATGGATAACAATCAAGGAACTGGAAATGTGTTCTTCTCCTCTCTGAGCATCTTCACTGCCTTGGCCATGGTCCGTTTGGGTGCACGAGGTGACTGTGCTTCTCAGATGGATAAGGTCAGTCTTGGTTGTGGACCACCCGTGGCTTCTGCAATTCATCATTAGGGCAAATTGTTTTCCCAAGAGAATATTTTACTGCAATGGTCCCATGCAAATGGAGACATCTCGGTGAACCCTCTTCAGGTGTGAAGGACGCAGACAGCAGGCAGCACTTGTTTTTGAGCTAGGACACAGTAGGAATGTTCCCAAAACTGCAGCTTTGTTTCTTCTCCTTAGTACAGTGGTTCTCGAAGTGTGTTTCCCAGACCGGCAGCATCAGCGTCACCTGGAGAACTTGTTAGAAATGCAAATGCTTGGGCTGGACCTCAGACCTACTGAATCAGAAACCATGGGGATGGGGCCTAGCAATCTGTGTTTTAATAAACTCTCCAGGTGCACACTAAAGTTGGAGAACCACTGCCTGAGTGGATACGGATGAGAAAGAAGAGGAGAAGGAGATCGCAACGAAGTCCTAGTTTAACCGTTGGTGACCTGGGCACAAACGACAAAAAGTACATTCCAGATAATAGCAGCCTACCTGAATGGTCATCACATTTCACCACCATCACCTTTAGAAAGTGCTTATTAACTCAGTCTTGTACACTGCACTGAGCCAGGCTGTACAGGGAAGTGAAATGGTCACGGTTTCCCTCCCTTCTCTCGGGAATTTGTCATCAAAATTCAGTAGCAGGTGAGATACCAGGTCCGGGCTGCCTGTGAATGCCTTGATGTCATCTCTTTCTGCCTACCGATTCCTCCCATTATTTTAGTTCATAAGCAAGTGCTGGAATGAGCCTGTCCCTGTTAAAACCTTTCACACCTAAGTACTTGTTGAAGATTATTTGTGCAGATAATTTAACCTAGAATAATTCATTTCTCTCTCTGGATAGCACAATGAATATTTGTTGCTGGGAACAACCACGGAGTCTAATGGCATTTGTCCAAGAGCTGGAGTGATTCACAGTACATTGACACTTCACTCTAATGAGATGATGATAAGAGCTGAGAACTTCATCGGTGTTGGACTCTGGGATAAGCTCTACAACTACTATCTTATTTGATGCTCACAATGACATGGGAGTAGATATTAATATCCTGCTTTTATGGAGGGATTGCCAGGGCATCTCTGTGCTACTAAATGGCAGAGCTGTGATTCAAACTCAGAGTAATCTTATTCTAAAGCAGGATTTCTCAACCTCAGCCCTGCTGACATTTTGGGCCAGATAATTCTTTGTTGTGAGGGGCTGATCTGTGCATCATAGGAGGCTTAGCGGCATCCCTGGTCTCTACTCAATAGACACCATTAGCACTCCTCTCCCCAGCGGTGACAATCCAAAGTGTCTCCAGACACTGCGAAATATCCCCCAGGAGGCAGAACCATCCCCTAGTTGAGAGCCATTTGCCCTAAAGCCCCAAACTGAAATGCAACCCAAAGTGCGTTATTGTAAAGCTTCAGTTATTTTAAAGTCAATATTTTGATAAATAAATATAAAGCCTTTGGAAAAAAATCTTGCAACTAATAAAAGTTTCCATTTATTAATAAAAATACACAATGTTTTGCCATTTATTAATAAAAATACATAATGTTTTAGAACCAAATGAATCAACTTGGTGTCATGGAAATAGCACTCTGATCTAGAAGATCTAGAACTCTAACTAGAAGATTAGATCCAAATTCTGACCTTGGGAAAATTAGTTCATCTCTGTGGGCCTCTGTATCCTTACCTGTAAACCGAGGAGACCGATGTGATGGTATCCAGTTAAAAAGTAGCTTTACAATTGTTCTGTTCAATATGTTAGACAGTGATGTGTAGGCTTTACACTTATGATGAAAGCTCACCTTTAACACAGCAGAAGACACAGCCATTTATTTTTGTGCTATTTCAGGCCAGGGACGTTCTCTGGGCTACTGCCTGGTATATCTCCTGAGGTTTCCTTGCCTGGATCCCTGGTGGACCAGGGTCAACAGCTCATGGGAGGTGGGTCTCAGAGAACTCAAAGAGCTGCTGTCCTCCCAGAGTCTGCTCTTTCATAGTCATTGCCCCATCAATGACTTTTATAATTCTTGCCGTCATAACCTCCTATAAGAAAGATACAAGAGGAAAAAATAACAACTATAGACACAAAAACTTGTGTTGTAATTTATTTGTACAAATTTTTAGTCCTCTGCAAAATAGCTTCTTGGAAATTAATTTCAGCCCACCTCACTGCAGTTAGCTTCTCTTTACAACATCTGACCCTTGACACCATGGGTCATGTATATTTTAGATAAATCCAGTTGCAATCAGTTTAGTTATAATTCATGGCATCCATCTATATGTCTTTTTTAAGTATCACCATGGCTCAATTGTCTTTTTTCTTTTTGATTTTCAAATGGTCACAGTTGGGCCAGTAAAAATCCCTTTAAACTTGTCGTTTTAAAACAATCTTTCTAGATGACTCTAAAATACCTTTGATTTTTTGACAAGATATTCTGGGACCTGTCTTGAATTTTCTTAGCTCAGGGAAGGTCAGCTACTCTCTACAAACCTCTGGTTCTTTTACTGGATGATAGTATCATTAAAGTCCAGAGTCAGCATGCAGGAGGTTCAATGGAGTTAAAAAGACATGGAAGCTGCTTGCCATTTCAGTGAAAAAGCCAGAAAAGTATATTTGTTGACAAGGTCATGTGTTCAGGTTCATATTTTTTCATTTAACTCTAATATTACTATGCTTTCTTATCTTGTTTTAATATAAAAGTTTTAAAAACTTACTTCCCTTTTTTTTGAGCTGCCTGCTCCTTTCTTTTCTCTCACGTGACATTACCATTGAAACAGAAAATATCACAAATTTTATCCTAAATCATGTGTTTATATTACAATATTATTTAAAATGTATAGAAATTTAAGTTTTCTAAAACACAATTGGGTTTTACCAAAAGCATTTCAAAAAATAATCATTATAATATGTTACTTATTGTACCGCTTCTATGAGAAGAAATAATACTTTCATAATTTGGCATGAATACATAGATAGAAGCCCACTAGCATGTAAATGATTCATAGCCTCTTTTTGCACCCTCTATCCAAATATCCTGAAATTTCTTACGTTGTATAGACCCATGGTTTTCCTTATTTGCTATCATTTGAATATATTACCAGTTATGAAAAAGAAAAAGAAATTCCGATTTTTCTATGTAGGGACATCAGGCAACCTGAAAGCATAGGACTGCTAGCATTTTGAATTGTGATAAATATGTCCTTTGAAATTTTATCTAATATTTACCACATTTGAATATTCACTAGTATCATTATTCATCTTTGGTCATGGCAGTTTTATTGTTGAATGTATAATTTCTTAGAATTTTTTAAAATACAAAAATGTATACGTATCACCTCAATATTATACCAGTCCAGTTTACTAAAAGCCAATTAGGAATGTCAGAAAAGACAACCAAATCAATATCAAAATGGAGTAAAATGAGACATGATCAAAGAATAATGTTAAATATTTATACTTGTTAAAGCTTTCTTAAAAAAGTTAGGAAGAATGACTTTTAGAGATTTATATAATCTTTATGATACTGCTTGGGTTCCACATGAGTTAGCTCAGAAAAGGTATGAACATTTTTGTGTCTTGACACTTTGCCATGGTATTTTATATTTCTGGCACATCCATGTATTCCCAAATACCAATCTATCCATTAGTGACTTTAGGACTTTTTTTTTTTTTTTAAAAGAAACTACGGGAAATTTAAAGAGTTAGTCTGACTAGGAGGAATTTTGGCCAAAAAGAAGGGAAGATTTCTTTCTTCTTCCTAGGTTTCACGTTAATTACTAGGTTCTTTTTATGAGGTAGTGAGTAAGTAAAGGTTTAAAACTCTGAGGAGCAGACATGATTCAAAAAGTTTTTCCATGAAGCCATTTATATTTTACTCAAGATAACATTATGTAATAATCGATATGACTTCCCATGTTGTCTCAGCCTTCTTTTGGTTAAATCTTCCTCCCTGAACTGTTTCAAAGATCATAGAACTGGACCCTCCCACCCCCAACCCCTCATCTTAGGAAGGAAAGATACAAAGTTCCCAAAGACACAAAGAACCCAAGTTCAAGATCAGCGGACACAAGCTGGCCAGTGCTTCTCTCCCCTCCATCTCTTATGTGATGACTTCCATTTGCAACACTTCCTTTTTCATTTTGGGAGCACTGAGAAGTAAACTTGGTCTATTTTCTAATATAAATGTTACAAAGCAGCAAGAATGAAAAATCTGCAGTGAAATAGTCCAAAGTTATAAAGAATCATGCTTTTATTTCCTCCCTTTGTAATAACAAAATAAATAATTCCACGGAAATGGGAGGTCCTTGTTGAACCTTCTTCTCTTAGTCATAAGTTACCAACTCCATTGTTCACCAACAGAGGAGTCATAGTCCCAGTGAAATTGACCACAAGACTCTGAGACAGAATTGTTTAAAAGACCTTGGCATAGCCTACCCCTCAAGTCTAGCAATTGGGAAGAGATAAATACAATATTCTTTAAGGCATTGAAAATATTCTTGTTCAGCCCATGCAAAATGAGAAATGGGACTGATGTTCTTCATGCTCCACAACAGCATAGAACTAGGGTGAGGCAAATGACCCCCAGGCTGGTGGTGCCTTGTTGTCTGCAAAGACCCCACTTGGGAGTTTTAAATTGACTGTTAATTTGTATATCAAATTTACCTGTTAACTTTGCCTTATCTATCTCATAATAATTATTATTCCAGATTAAGAGAACGTAGAAATTGAGGTAGGTTCCAATTCTCTGTGACCTGTTAAGACTAATAGTGACAATCATAGCCTTTATAACTTTTCATATCCTTTTCTGAGCTGTTCCATTTTCCCCTAGCCAATAAGATGGTGCTATTAATTAGGTGTGTGAAGCCTTGAAGTTGAAAGCCTCCACAGAGGCACTGATAGCAACATTGACCTATATCATTAAATTCCCATACATAATTTCTTTACCCAGTGTTGGAATGGTCCTTCACACCTTCTCCCTACCTCCACTCCCCACTAGGGATGTGGTTCATTTATAGCACATATGATCCCTTAAAGAAAAGCTACATCTTTCTACAGAAAATCTGACCAGTAAGATTCTAGGAGTCACGAACTGAGACTGTAGAACAAATCCACCATTGCTTGGGAGTTATTTAGATCTGTCATACAATTGGTTGGAGGAATATAAGTTAAATGAGTCCTTGGCTGTGTCTGTGTATTGTCCATCCACATCCAGGAGGCAGCACACACTGTTTGCCTCAGACAGTTGCGTAGATGATTATCACGTGTGTAATGCACTTTATCACTTCCTAGTAGAGGAGCTGTTGGCATTTCAGATCCCATAAACACAAGGACCTGGGGAAATTCTGATAAAGTGACATAGAAAATCAAGACTTGGGCACAGTAGCAATGATTAGACTATTGAGATTATGAAAGTCACACTGGAAAAGGAAAAACCTAAAACTGCTTAATTACAAATAATTGTAGGATCATAAATTATATCTCTTAAGTTACAATTTAGCTTCATATTTAGGATTTCCTAGATCTTCAATAATTGCTTCTCTCTTGTATGTCTTGGTGCCTACATAGTTAGTCCTAATCTTGCCTCCCACTTGATTAAACCTAGTTTCCATTTTTTATTTGACTCTTTGAGATTCTTGTCTAGGTTTAATCAGTGAGTAATTATTAAATTGCTCCCCCAGAATGAGCAAACCAAAATAATTAAACACATTTCATTTTGTAGCCAGTGGTTTATTAACTCTCCCAGTTTATGACACTCTCCCCAGTGAACAATCTAGGTCCTAACCAAGGCAATCAGGCAGCTGCACATTTCATTCCTGCCCTGTGTGCTAACAAACACACAACACAAGCATTACTAGTGAAGTCTTGACTCTGTTCAATGTCACCAGGTCCCTTCTTGCTTGGCGGGACCTGCTAACTGCTTTCCTTGTTTCCTGTTGGCAGGTGCTTCACTTGAATACCGTCTCAGGACATGGAGACTCTTCCAATACTCAGGTAAACACAAGTAATCTGTTGTTGGTAGAAAAGATTGTTGTAATCTGTTCTGGTAGAAAAAGGGAATGTGAGACTAAATTTTTAAAAAATTATTGTCTCACTGATATATTTAATTATGCTTTCTGTCCTTTTAAAGCAAAGGAACATGTCTCATTCAGATTTCCATATTGTGGATATTTCAAATACAAGTTTTGATAATTTACTTGTTAATTATTAATGTACCAATATTTTACTTGTGTGTTTACAGCCAACTTACATTGGTAAAATGAATTATTTAGTACACATATTAGGCAAATTCATTATCTTCTGTTAATAATTTTATTCTAAGGTTAATTATTTGTTTTAAAAAATCCTTTATTAACTTTGGTCACAGACACTATTATGAGAAAGGGTAAGAAATTGTAGATGTACGTGGCATTGTTTGCTGCTTTTATAAGCATCATTATTTTTCAATTCTTTTTTGGTATAATATACATGTTTTATTTCATGTGTAAATAAGAGTATGCATATCTTTGCAGTCCAAGAATAAATTTTTATAAATCTTTTTAATAACAGCCAGGACTCCAATCTCAACTGAAAAGAGTTCTCACCGATATAAACACATCTCACAAGGGTTATGAGCTCAGCATTGCCAATGGTCTTTTTGCGGAAAAAGTGTTTGACTTTCATGGGGTAAGTGCAGACTCCCGTGTTAGAAGGTTATTTCCACTCTGAACCCTAGTCTTGTTCAATCCATCATATGAATAAAGGCCTGTACCTTTCTACAGAGCCATTCAAAGGCGATATTTTTTTTTTCTTGTCACAACGAATCATGTTCCCAATTCTCTTCAATATCATCACCCTGTTTCCAAAATACAACTTTACTTCACCTGAGTGATCCACATATCAAGGTCACCAGACAGACAGGATCCAAAACAGAAGACAACCTGTGCCCTGGCAGTGATGGACAGTGGGATGGGAGGAGCAGACAGCCCATTTAGGGTTGTCCATGACTGGCAGAGGAAAAAGTCTATCCATTTTTCCTCTGAGCTTTATGCCTACTGGGATAGTTTTGTGTTCCCAGTGCTGAGTTCTCTCTCTTTACTCCCTTTTTTCTCAGCCAGGCCCTTTCCTCTCTCCTTCCAGGAGCTTCTTACTTACCTTCTCAATAAGAGAACTTATAAAAGAGTTTCTGGTCGGAGACATAGCCAGATAAGGTCAGCCATTGGCAGAGGAGTGACTTAGACTCAACACAGAGGTGGGGAATGGGTTCACTTGAGGTCAGCAGACTAATTTTCATTATTACTTGATGGTGTTTGCGTTATCAATTCACTCCTCATAGCATCTTGCTCCCCCTAAGACCAATGAAACCCAGAATGCACTCTATATGCTACTCTTCTCAACTCGTGGTTTGGTACCATCATTGCTGTGACAACCAGAAGCTGGTTAGTACTGTTCAGGCAGACACAGTGGCATGAGTCTCTGGGCATGTTTGCTCTCCCTTTTAATTTTCCACTTCCCAGACAACTACAAAACTCTTCCGCCTCTGTGACGTCTCTGAGCTAATCGCTTGCATCTCTGCCAGCTCTCTGGGTTCCACCCAACCGTTATAGTTTCCTCTGTCTGTCACCCATTCAAACTCTTTGCCCCTTTCCAGCCACTCCCAAATCCTTTGGCAGCCTGCCTATTGTGAAGCATTAGGCCACTTTGTTTTTAAATCTTCCCAAAAGAATCCTACACAAGCTTTACAGGGGCCATCCTGTATGTTCAGCCCCACGTTTTGTGTCTCTATTCCCGTGCATACTGCTGTGTCACTGAGGGACTGCCAACTCTTTTAAATTGGAAGTTGATGTGTCCATAATGCCACTATTTATAGCAGATTTCCATGTTCTTTTTTCTGGCACTCAGTGCAATGCACCCAGAAGCACAGTAAAGGTGAGATCCAATCAAAACATGCCATTTCTTTCCTCCCAAATATTTACAAGTACAATTAGTTATTCTAAAAAGTACTTTTGATTGAAATATAACACTTGTCAACTTTCAATCATTCAGATGAATACAAAGATAGATAATCTCCAAACTTTTTACATTTGTTTTGTAACCTTCGTTTTTACTTACTCTTAAATATAGAGGATTCTACTAGAATTGATGATGATAATAATAATAGTGTATAAATTGTCTTTACAAAAGTGGTATTGTAGAAGGCCCAACCATCATCTCTGATACCTTGTTCTCCCTCCTCCTCTCATCCATGCTAAATATGCCTTGGATTAGACTTCTGCAGATGTTACTCCATACTCTCCAATTCTTACCCATTTTGGGTAACTTCAGTGTCCCTGTGGATGACTCAACTTCCCTCCTTATAATTCCCTGACCCTCTCTTTACACCATTTTAGTAATTGATACCCAAGCCACACCCTGAAACTAACTGACACCCAGAACTTTTCTACTTCTGAAATCTGCACCTCTAGTTTACCATTTTGTGGCCACATCATCTCAACGCTTCTCCCTCTTTTATTATTTCATCCCTACTCTACCTGTTCTTTAACTACATTGAGTTATTCAATCTCTTGATCTCTCCATTTTTTCTTAACTATCAGCTCTTTCCTAGCTTTACTGCCATACCAAACTACCCTATACATCCATTGCTTAGTCACTCTCTTACCAACACCCTCCTTCCGCCAGCAAAGCCCTGAATCTGGATCAATGCATGACTTCCCTCAGCAGTTGTGTCTGGGTTACTATATGATACTTGTGGAAGGCCTACAAGTGTGCAGTTATCACTACAACATCATGGTCTCCCACCCCAGCTAAACTTTCTCAATGGTGTCCAACAGTCAGCTTTTGTGATCATAATTTCTCTCTCTCATTCCTCACAACAGTTACTGAAAGATCTACTTCTCAATTTCCCAACAACCCCTACTGCCACCATCAGTTTCAACTAGGTCTATGTCATGAGCTCTAGGTCCCTGATGCCTTAGGTTTGTCTAGTTGGTCCTGGAGCATGAGAGGGCCCAGTGCTGTGGGGGACAGAGTCAGGCCTGGAAGCCATGTGATTTAGTGGAAATGTCCCCCGCCCATTTTCTAGTGCACAGTCTGCCTCCAGGAGTCATCAGAATCAGACAGTAATGGGGTGTCAACTGCTATATTCGCCTGGGTGGGCAGATGTCTGGGTCACCCAGGACAGCCCAAGATCCTGGGTGACACCATTTTGCTCACCTAGACTGCTGCTCTGGGTGTCCAGGGGTGACTGGCCAGGAGGAAGGGGGCAGCTCTGCTCGCTGACCCACACACCCACTGCTCTTGGCCTGGCTAAGACCAGACACTGGGACGTGGTCTGAAATTTTCCAAATCATTTGTCACGTTTGCCTCAAGAATACGATTTCCAACTTGGGACAAGGACTTTCAATTTTTGAACTTTTTTGGGGGGGTATAAGAAACTAATTTAATACTGAAATAAAAGTACATGCTGTAATATACACAGAATGAATATTTTACTTCTGGATAGGCAATTAGATCTTCATAAAATATAATGGAAGAATTTTTCAGAGACAAAGCAACAATATGGTTCTTTCTTAAAGGTGAATAAATTATATAAATTCATGGAACAAATTGCATACAGAGAAAAAAATTGAACTTGAATTGTCTTGTACTAGTATTAGCTAACACCTCCATCAGATTCGATAGAAGCATCACAGGTATGGTTTTATTTTCATTGTGTTACCCTTATTGGGCCCTAGCAGGATTTTGATTTATCCCATTGCTGGTAATGTCATCTTTGATCACTTGATTAAAGTGAAGTCTGCTAGATTTCTCTGCTGTGAAGCTACTCTTTCCCTTTGTTATGAGGTATTTTGTGGGGAAGTGCTTTAAGGTTGTATAAATATCCCATTCTTGATCAAACTTATTTATTTACTTATTTATTTATGTCAATATGGACTCATGTTGTCCTATTTTAGTCAAAGGGTTATAATCCATCATTATTATTTTCATGACTAAATTATCCCTTCAATTTGGCTTCTCTGTTCATTTGACATGTCCCTCTCACTCTTTGAGCACTTTCTTATTTTCTGGCACCATAGGATGTTCCAATCTCATCTTCTTCTTTTCCTGCCCCAACCCAAGAATCAGCCATTTCTCCAGGAGCCCTAGTTCCTTTTTAGGAAAATACAAGCATATATTTATATCAATTTTCATCTCTTTATTATATGTAGTGAAAACTGTGAGTTCACACTGATATCTCCAATTCCAGTCGTGCACCACAGGGGTGGTTTTTTTTTTTCTCTCTTTCTATATTGGTAGCTCTGTTCTCTAACAATGAGAAATCTGGCTGCCATTATCCTTGTATGCTTACTTATTTGACCAATTCCCCTTTATGTAACCAATCTCCTATCACTGATCCTGTTGCCCCTCCAAGTGTGGGAACACCTTCCTCATCCTTTGTGAGAGACCTGCCCCTCCATACTAGGCTGTTCCTCCATGAGTATATATCCTCTATCCATGTAGTTTCCCACACCCCATGATGGTCTGCCCCTCCACAGGGATGTCCTTCTCACTCTTTTGGGCTTTGACATCCCATATGGATGCCTTCCTCATACTACTTAAGGTCTATCACCTGCGTGAAGCCACTCATCCTCAGGGATGCCTCTGGACTTTGCCTGAGCTCTGAATTCCAGAGCTGGGCCTGCCTGACAAGGAGATGTGCTTTTCATCTTCGGCCATTAATACTTTGTCTTGAATCACTCCTGGATGTGATTGGAGTGAGTGGTCTCCTCACTGTGGTGGGGCTCTGCCATCCAGTTCTGCCACTATGATCGTCTCTATCCTGAAATATTTACTTACCTAGGTTTGCCCCTCCTAATGGCTTTGATTCTGAATTGTTCAGGAAGGAAACGGAAGGGATAGGGGTAAATAAAGAGCCAGTTCTACCTTCTTAATATATCTCTAAATTTTGTTTCATCCTCCCCATTCCCCTACCATTCCTGCCACTACCTTAATTCAGGACCTCTTCATATCCCTCAGGATAAACTATAATGACCTTCTAACAAGTCCCTCTATCTCCAATCCATTTTTCCTCCTGATTCCAGAGTTATCTTTATGAAATACACATGTAATTGTATTACTCTCCTACTTGAATCCCTTCAATAACTCTCCTTAGAATACAATGAAAGCTTTCTAGCAAGGAAAACAAGACACTCATGCTCTTGCCTCTATCCTGCCTATGTTCTCCCATTTCCTCCTTTCACCGTGTGCTGTGGTCATCACAAATTCCTGTCGATTTTCTGAATGTGTCAAGATCCTCTTAATCTTCAGAGAGTACTTCTGCTTGGAGGGCTCACCTATTTTTGCTTGTCCTGGTCAACTTCACCTCTTCTTTTAAGACTCGTTTCAAGCTCATCTCCTCCAAGTTGAATGCCACAGGCCTCTGTGTGCCTATGGCAGGCACTGTGGGTTGTAATTGACTTTTCCCTTAGATTGTCAGATTTTCTAGGGAAGTAGTAGCCATGGTCTTGACTTTGAAAGATAGTAGCAAATATTTGTTGACTAAATGAATTAATACTTTTTGGGAGTGGGGCACTTGGACTTCAGTTGTTATACTGGCCTTGTAATTTTGTAACACAGATCCATCTCTATGCCTCTGTAAAACTGGCCTCCTTCTCTGGCTTAGACACAATCAAAATAGATTACACTTCCCCAAAACATCACTTATCAGTCGTGGATAAATGCCTAAGAAAATACCATAAGTAAGAAATGCCAAGTGCTACCCTACAGGAGAAAGATAATTAGATAATCAATTTTTTAACAAACTAAATTTCTTGAGGGCCAAAAATTCTTATGTCTTTAAGCCGAAAGTTCCCTCATCCTTTGACCACATGATGATGATGATGACAATGACATGGTGAACTTTATAAAGCAGTTAAATAGATAGGAAACTGAAGGTGAGCATGTACAATGCAGAGGTAGGACTTCACCCAGATGTTCTTACTGTAACTACTGCTCCTTCTACTCACTACAACTTGATGATCATCACATATTTTTAAAAGTGAGACAAGAGTCACATAGCCCCAAGCATCATGGTATAATAATGGTGCTCTGATTAGTGAAAGCTATTCATTCTTTAATTAAAACAAAACAAAACGTTTTTCTTCATCACAAGATAGGGAAATCTCAGCCCCCTTTCCTTATAATAATACACATAATCAACAGTCTTTAACTCAACCAAGTGACTGCATCAGTGCAGACCACAGAGAAGACTTCTGATGGGAAGAAAGGAGAACCACAGCCAGTAGATATCAAGGAATATCAGAGGAACACTCTTTCCCAACCTGAAATCCTGCAACACTACACGTTCTATAAATCAAGGGGTCTCCCACAATGACTGGATCACATATTCATTTCTTTGCCGCATTCAGGTGTAATGAAAAGAGTGCCAGGTTGGGTCAGGAGACCTGCTTCCTGTCACTTCGTAGCTCTGTGTCCTTCCATAATCAGTTGATATGTCTGGACCTGTTTCCTCATTGATAAAATGAGAGAATTGTACTGAATAGCCTCTATGGCTCTAAACTTTTATGGTTTAATTTGTAATTTTGAATCTTCAATGTGCATTGAAAATGGAAATTATGCATAGTATTGTCATGAGAGCTAAAACTAAAGTGCCACTAATGTGCCATCTTCATTCTATTCAACAACCATTTCCTGAGCACTGACTATGTGCAAAAACCACATACATGATAGGGTGGGGACACAGAGATGACTAATGAAGCCAATATTGACTTTACACTTAAAAACCAATAAATGTAATTCACTACATTGAGAGATTAAAGGAGAAAGAACTTGGTGTCAATCAATAGATGCAGAAAATAAAGCTCTTACAAAATAGAAAGGGAATTTTCTACATAAAATATTCTTGGTAAAATACCAAATGTTTTTTCCCTGACACCAGGAGCAAGACAAGGATATTTTCTGTAACATTTCAATAAACATTGCACTGGAGGTCATAACCAATATAAACATTCAATTGGAGGTCTCAGCAGGAAGAAAAATAAGCAAAATGTATTTGGATTGGGAAGGAGGAAATAAAAGTATCATTGTTCACAGGTAACAGTTGTATATATAGAAAATCTAAAATATTTTATAAATAAATTATTAGATTTAATAATAAATTTAGCAAGGTTAACATATAAAACTCATTTGTATTTCTATGCATTATCTATAATTAAAAAATAAAATTTAAAATAATGTCATCTACAGTGGCACTATAAAACATCAAATACCTAGAAATAAATATAAGATGTTCACACAAAAAAGTTGCTAAGAAAGAAAAGATTTTAAAAACAAAGGATATATATTGTTTATAGATAGAAGACTCAACATTATAAAAATATCTATTCTTCCCACATTTATTTATAGATTCAAGACAATTGATTTTGGAGAAATTGATGAGCTGGTTTTAAAATTTACATGGAAATGCAAAGAATACAGAGACATCAAGACAATCTTGAAGAAAAGGAAAAAAGTTGGAAGACTTACATTGTTAGATATCAAGGCTTAGAAACTACAATAATTAAGATTTGTGGGTATTTATACAACGATAGACAATAGATCAATGGAACACAGTAGAGAGTCCTGAAACAGATTCACACATAGAGACAATTGAATCATGATACAGGTGACTCTGCAGAGCAGTAAGGAAGGGATGATGTTTATAATAAATGGCATTGGTTCAACTGGCTATCTAGCTGAGTGTATCTTGACACCTATCTATATACAAAAATATCAATTTCAGTTGGATCATAGATGTAAATGTGAATGGTGAAACAATAAAGCTTTTAGAAAAAAAATATAGGTTGTTATCCTCATAATCTTGGATAAGCAGAGATTTCTTAATCTTCATTTTAGGATACATAGAGCACTAATCATAAAGGATAAAGCAGATTGCATGGACGGCATTAGACTTAAGAATTGCTTTTCATTAAAGGATATCATAAAAAGTAAAAAAGGCAAGTCACAATGGCAGAACATATTTGCAATACATATGAGTAATAAGGCACCGATATCGGAAATCAAAAACTCTTACAAACCAGTAAGAAAAACACAAACAGCCTAGCAGAAAATCTTAAATTGGCACTTTATAAAAGATCGTATTTAAATGGCCAATAAATGTGTGAAGAGACAGTCGATCTTAGTTTTATTTTTTGTCATTTAAGTTTCATGTCTCCTTTTAACGACATGGGCAACAGTGTTTTAAAGAATTCAGTAAGAAATACTAACTGGACTAAAAAAATAGTATACACACACGCACAAATGCCTAATGGCCCATAGGTCTCCTAGAGTTTTCTGGAAGTGCTGACACCCTGAATTCATCAACTTCTCTGGGCCAAAGACTGGTTCTTAAAACTACTCTTTGTAACCAGTGTCTGAGTGGAGGACTGGATGGATGGACGAACTAATCAGAAGATGAAAAGAGCCTTATGCATGGAAATTACACACAAATTATTCTTTATAGAGTAATCTCATTGGGCAGACAGACAATGGATAACTAGCCAATCCTCATTTTTAGGGTTGAAAATCCTATAAAATTGATCAGGATATCCTCTGATGATACATATGATATGTAATGAATCTTATTTTCCCCAATTAAGAAAATATTTCCCTAAAAATGTATACGTGTGTACATATTGTTTTGCGGATGTGTTGATATATCAGATTGCTATCATTTGTTTTTATTAAAAACAAATATTTCTTGAGCACCTATTATGTGCAAGGCAATGTGATAGGTGCTGGGGAGACAATAATAGCAAGGCATATGTGGTCCAGACTTCACAGAATTTGCTGGCTTGTGATGGGCTCAGAAAATCTCAAATGTAAGTAAGACGCATTATGATAACAGCTGGCGAGAAAATGAGGGTGAAGGGCCTGTTAGAGGACACAGGAGGGGCCTCAGGAAGATTTCTTTCAAGGAGAGGCATCTATGTTTGGAACTAGAAACGAATAAGACATAACCGTGAGAACCAGGGGGCATTCCCAGTAGAAAGAATGCTGCTCAAAGGGCTCCAGAGAGAGAGGACACATGGCACTTCGCAGGTGCTTCAGGTCGTAGGTATGGCCAGAGAGCAGAGTATGAAGGGGAAAGTGGCTAGAAATGAGGTGAATGGGGTGCAGGTCAGCAGAGCCTGGCAGGCCAGGCCCAGGAGCTTGGGGTCTATCTAAACTGCAAAGAGGAGTCTTGAGGGGTTCTCAGTAGGAAGGGGGTGACACAAGCAAGGGGGTCTAGTTAGGAGGCTATTAACGTATTTATGGTGAGAAAGCAGTTGTAAAGCAAGGAAGGAGGGCATTAGCCATAATCTCTATTAGTGTCCTCGAATCTATTTCCAATGAACCTGAAGTAAAACAGCATGCTTGCTATGCAAATCCAATTTCAAGTTCTCTAGCTCCCCTTCCAGGCACATTTCCATATTTCTAGCCATATTTTGTCATCTTTGAGGCAGGAATGAGTCCTTGAATAAGGTGATGGAGATGAAGAGACAAGTTCAAAAGATATTTCTTATATGTTTAGATAGTGGTGATTTGTAAATACAAGAACTGTATATTACTTATAGAACTGTATATGATTTATATTTATAGAACTATATTGAACATGCTGAAAGACTATACAATGCCAAAGTGGAACGGGTTGACTTCACAAATGATATAGAACATACCAGATATAAAATTAACAAATGGATTGAAAATGAGACACAAGGTGAGTGCAAGACTCTATTCTTCTACAAGATTTGTCAGTTAATTGTGAATGCTGAGAACTATCAAGTTCTCAGCTGGAGAACTTTTTGAGAACTCTCAAGTTGTCAAAAAGCTGGAAGTTTTTTGTAAGACATATGAGGAACAGCCCCTCCTAATCCAAAGTTGTGATTGCTGTCATTTAAAATTGCCTTAGTATTTGTCCACGATGTGCTTTTGAGTAATCTTAATGATTTGAATGCTTTATACCTTTCCAAATCTTGTCTGTTACATTATCTCATTTGACTGGGAAACAATCCTGCGGGACACATAGATTTTACTATGACCATTTCATAAATTAGTGACAAGCTGAGGTAATTTACCCAATCGACCTCAATATCATATACCTGATTAGTGACCAAAGACTAAGGGTGGTTTATAGGACATTATGTGCAGTGACTACAATGTAATATTTCATTCTAATGATAAATCTAATATTTTATTCTTCCTTCTTGGACTAAAGAATCTTATTAAAATTATAACATCCTACTGTCTTTAAAATATATTTTTATATCATTGCTGCTTCTTCTTTTTCTTCTTTTTTTATTTTGTGAGGAAGATTGGCCCTGAGCTAACATCTGCCAATCCTCCTCTTTTTGCTGAGGAGGACTGGCCCTGGGCTAACATCCATGCCCATCTTCCTCCACTTTATATGGGACGCCTGCCACAACATGGCCTGACAAGTGGTCCGTCGGTGAGCGCCCAGGATCCAAACCGGCGAACCCTGGGCCGCCACAGCGGAGCGCGCGCACTTAATTGCTTGCACCACGGGGCGGGCCCCTATCATTGCCTCTTCTAAATGATGCATAGCTTATCTTTCATTTTAAAATTCTCTTCATTTATCAAAATAATGTGTGTGGCAAAGGTAGTACCTTGCAGAAAAAGTATATCTCTTTATTGGTAAGTCTCTTTCACAACCAAAAATTGAATTCCAGCTAATATTCTGGTTTAGTATAAAACAAATAAGGAAATCTACTTGTTGTTGTTTTGTTAATCAGCTGATTCCAAAGCTAGTCATTTCTGTACCTAAGGCTTGGCCTTGATTTATACTCTGAACAATATATATGTATTTGCTGAGTCTGGCTCTGTCTCAAAAATATGAGGTTTGTGACTTGCTTTCTTAAATGCAAACATTCAACAGCATACAATTAGTCCTAAGAACAAGAATACAGTGTCTCAATTTTCTTTTTGTTCATTCATTCATCATTACGTCAGTAGAGGGTTACTTTGACCTTTAGCCACCACATTTTTCAAATATACTATGCATAAATCAAGAGAAATTATGCAATGACTTTTCTAATAACTGAAGGGAATTCTATTTAGTGTTTAGTATTTAAGGGTATCAGATTACTAATACCTTTCTCCATTGTATCTGTTATTTATTTCTCTTTTTTACCTTCTCATGCAAATCTGTGTATAATTATTCTCATGTTGATAAGTATATCTTCTTAATACTCATTTAGAGGAACGCTTCAAAATGCTACCAGCATTCCACAAACCCACAAGTCTTATCATCTCCCATGCTCCACACACTACCAGAGTTATCCTTTTGAAAGGCAAATTTGGTACATCATGACCGTGCTCTTTCTTGTCTTCCAATAAATTCTAAACATTTTCCATTGCCTTCAAGATAATCCAAAATTCTTACCAGACGTTCAAGGTTCTTCTTTATCCAGCCCCTGCCTCCAATCTTTCCAACCTTACTCTCCCTAATGCATCGGAAGCAGTTAGGGTTTCCCCAAACACGCTTTACTCATCCAGGCTTCCATGTCTTTGAATAAATAGTCTCAGCTTTATGGAAGTTCTCCCTACCTCCACATCTTGCCCTCAGCTCAAGCAGGGGGCCCAGTCAGAGTTGGGTGCCCCCAATTTGTGCTCCCACAGCACGCTGAGCACATGGCTGTGATACCAGTGTGCCACCACTGCTTTTGGTTGTTGCCTCCTCTGTGCTGGACTGTGAGCCCAATGATGGCATGGACTGTGTCTTGCATTGTTGTGATTCAAGTATCCAGAATAGTGCACAGCATCTAGCAAAAATCTTGTTAACACGAAATAAAAGAAGGAATTAGCCTTTTCAACGGAAGGGAGTTAAATTACATTTGGAGCCTTGTGGCCTCATTAATGCAGTAAAGGCAGTTTGGTGCCTACCAGCAGGAAAGTGCTCTGGGAATTGTCTTCCTGGGTTGGAATCCTGCTGCCATAACTTTCTTGTTGTGTGATGTTGCACAAATTGCTTAACCTCTCTGCGGCCCAGCTTCCTCAACAGGAGACAGAAACAATAATAGTGCCTACCTCACAGGGATTTTGTGAAGATTAAACCAAATATTGCATGTAAAGGATTTAGAAAATGTTGGACTGAGCAATTACTCATAGGTTATTACTAATATCGTTATTATGATTATAATCATTATATGACAAGAAAAATATGCTCTTCAAAAAAATTTTTTCATATACCTTAAAAAATTAACATCTTTTTCTCAATTTATTTTTCAAAAGGCAAAATCAAGAACACCTTTCGTGGAGGCAGCATAAGCTCCTCTGCTGTAATGGTGCTGGTGAATGCTGTATACTTCAAAGGCAAGTGGGAGTCGGCCTTCTCCAAGAATGACACTCGAAATTGCCGTTTCAAGTCTCCCAAGGTAGGGAAATCTATTTAATTTAGGAAGTTTTTTGTCAATAACCTTCCTTTGTGGAAACTGTGGTGTTTACATAGATAAACACTGGGGTCACCATTTCTTTACTCATTTCTAATATTGCATTACCAATACTGTATGATCAATTGCTTATAAAACAAACTTTCTATTTTCTTGCTAATGCAGGTTGTGAAATACAACTGGAGGTGTCCTACAAATTGATTTTTTTTTTTTTTGCTTGAGGAAGATCCGCCCTGAGCTAACATCTGTGCCAATCTTCCTCTATTTTGTATGTGGGTCACCGCCACAGCATGGCCACCGATGTGTGGTGTAGGTCCATATCTGGGAACCGAACCCTGGCCACCAAAGTGGAGTGCACCGAACTTAACCACTAAGCCCAGGGGCCGGTCCCTAAATTGATATTTTAAAAAATATATTCAAAATTGAGAAAAGTAATAGAGTATGAATTTATTTTAAGATGTTCTAGTTTGGAGCCTATAAGAAGACAATATGACAAAAGTGTACCTCTTATTTTCCATGATTCTAGAGTCTAGAGTCTAGATTCTAGTTAGAGTCATTTAATAGCAATGATTTTTCCTGAGTCAAAGCAAGGATGTGTTTCTTTTTACAAAGGAAAAAGTTATGTTTAATAGAGCTGTGCATTTCTAAGTATCAGTTGTATCTGTTTCTTCATTTAATTCTTTTTGATTTAAAAAATCTTAACTAATCTTCAGAAAACATATCTTGTTTTTTTACCAATTTGTGCATAGTACAGTGCATTAGTACAGTAGAGTGCATTAGTACAATAGAAACATCAAAGGCCTTGGAATCAGAAATGCTGTGTCTGGGTCCTTGCCTTGCCTCATAGAAGCTCTATGGTCTTAGGCAAGTTCACTTAACCACTGTAGACCTTCCTATCTTCACAAGTACAATACAGTGATTTCATTGATTCACCTCTAAAATTCCTTTCAATCACTCAGTCCTTTATGTTAAGGCAGAGAAATTCAGATTTAACTTTTAAACTTACTTTTATTTTTCAAGTGGAAAATACTATTGAAATGTTCTTTCTGCATTTTCCCACATCAGGAGTTTTAAACACAGGAGTTCTGAGAGCTGATAGGAATCACAGATCACTCAATGAGTGAGGAGATGAGAAATAAAAGGCCACCTAGGCAGGCTGCAGCCGCAGGTATGGTAATGCTTTGGGAGGAAGGAGAAGAGACTAGAAGAGGGACTGGGATGACTTTTAGGGTGGCTGCAGTGGCCTGGTGTGCAGCCAGCCCCAGCCCTGCTGTGTGTCTGTGACTGCAGGGTCCTAAGGAGAGCCTGATGGAGCAAGTTTATAACATAGGTGTCTCTGTGGAATAGAGAGAGGGGCACAAAAATATTTTGAAAATTGTCTATGAAAAAATAATAATATAATAAATCCTAATAAAATGCATTTCTGTCTTATAGAAATGTTATCTTTATAATTGGAATATATAGCATATTAGGTAGTACTAGAATTTTAGTGACTGAGGCTGGCATTGTTAACAGAGTTTGGAAGTGAGTTTTTGTCCTCACTCTTTCCTTCAGCTCTTCCTCCAGTAGATTGCATTTGTTGACTCGTTTCATATCAGTGAAGACAAAGCATGCTTGTCTCTTGCACTATTTATAGGGTTTTTCTCTCCTAAAGAAGTTTTTACTTTATTAATATATAATAGCTGTGTAAAATAATCTTCCTGCCTATATTACATGCCTTATAATATAGCTACGATATGTAGCTTATAATAGGCTATGGAATCTATATCACCAATGTCAGTTTGGTTCCATCACTTTAAAAATTAGTGAAATTACCTCTTTGCTAAGAAGTCAAGTTTCAGTCTTTCTCCAGCGTAAGCCAGCTGTGTGATTCTTCCCTTGCCCTAGTGTGGAAGTGAGATCTTGAGGCTGTGACATGCCAGCCCCTATTTGTACCAGGCTCAGTTCGGCTGACTTGTTTCACTAGGCAGGTACCTTCTTCCTTCGCTGCTCCATGTGTGTTCTTTCTGAGGTTTGGACTCTCAGTCAAAAGGACAACCTTTGCAGAGGGAGAAGCACTTCTGGTTCAAGCACAAATAATTATCTAACTTCCCCCTGCAGAACTTTCTGTCCTAAAGAGAGATATGACAGGAGAGATGACAAGTTTGCAGAATCACCGTACCTTTTAGGAAAAAGATGGTTTATTACACCTCTGTGGTGTTCCCAAATCTACAAATGGTATCCTCAAGATAAGAGCTACTAGGTTGCTTTCAAGTTAATTTGAGGGATGTTGTCAAATATTTTGAAGGAATTTTTTTTTATTTTTAAAAGATCTCATTTTTAAATTTTGTAATTTTGATAATACTTGTTTGTACTTTATTTCTGATGAGAGAAAACATCTATAATATTCCTTTTTAATTGTAATGCTATTTAATAATTATTCATTACTTATTATGCAGACATTTTCAGATAAAACACTAAGTGCATGGCAATGTTCCGTGCTAGATGTGTTAACTCACATAATGCTTACAACAACACTATGGAGTAGACTATTGTTATCCCCATTATGTAGATGAGGAAATGGAGGCACGGAGAGGTGAGGTAGATGGCCCAAGGTCACAGAGATGGGGAGTTTTAAACTCAGGCAGTTAAACTCCAAGTCTGTGCTCTTACCACTAAGATGTGCACCAATGCAACCACAACTGGCAACATGTCAAGAAAAACCTACAAGATCAACTCAACAAAAACTGAAGCACTTTTCTTACTGTACTGGTCAGTAAGTGAAATAAGATGGGCTAATAAAAATTTTTTGGTGACTTGATTTTCAGTGTCCTGGAAAAACAGTCACCATGATGCATCAAGACGGGAAGTTCAATTTGTCTGTCATTCAGGACCCATCTATGAAGGTTCTTGAACTTAGATATCATGGTGGCATAAGGATGTACATAATGCTCCCTGAGAATGACCTATCCCAAGTAAGTCACTATTGTCACTTTCACAATTGGGGAAGACTTTTAGGATGCTGTTAATTATGTTTTCACCCTTCAACTTTAAGATTTCAGGCTGTTGGGCTATTAGAGACTTACCCACTTAGTCATTTATTTGAGAAATATCTAAGGAGTACCTGCTATGTGCCAGGCATCGTTATAGATGTTGAGATGGACTTACCTCAGCTTAGTATAATTTTAGTTGAATAGCTGTAAAATTGGCACCTTCTCAAATATCAGTTATGGAAGGAAAAGAGCATGAGTGTAGGCCTTCTTTTCCATTGGCTATGAAAACAATCTTTCATGTATTATTGAAATTTTGGTAGACTAATCATCTTCAAGGAAGAATAATATGATGGGGTTTTGAAGTCTAGGCCTTTGAGGATTAAAATGTGTGGCCTCCCTCTGTGCTGCTGTCTCTCTAGGAAAAGCAGAAATTGGGGACTGCCCTGTGACTGACGTAGCAGGAGCAACAGCCCAGCACAGTGCGATGGGCAGACAGAGGTGGCCATACAAGGCAGACATCATCACCATGTCCCAGATCCCCATATTCTTTCAGCCCTTCTTCCTCTTCTCCTCCCCATGAATTTGGCCTCCTGAGTCTGCAACCTGCAATCCCAGGAGCTAGATCTCCTCTCCCTTCTCTGTACTTCCAATCAAAGGGAATATTTATTGAGCACCTAATATGCCAGGCCACGTGCTCTATGCTTCATTTATATTGTCTCATTTGACACGAACAGTAAGTGAAGTGTCATACAGTTGGCATTTTTAAATCTAAAGTGTGACAATATAAAATGTTGGTACTCATATTAAATAAATAATTCACTTGATAATCTTTATAACAATCAGATTTTAGCACAATTATTTTAGCTTCAAATAATCTGCGATAACAGAAAAAGTACCCCAGATAAAACAAGCTGTAGATAACTCAAAAGATAGATTTGTTCTTCCTCTGAGTTTTTCTTTTTCTGTAACATATTGTCCTAATTGTGGATCGGATTAGCATAAATCTACATACCTACATAATCCTACACAACTAATGATTAGGAAGTTGGCTCTGCAGTGGGCTAAATGAGAAAAAATTCTAACTCAGAATAAAAAGTTATTACAGATTAACCACAAACTGGATAATTTACACACAGAAAATTTAAATTAGATTAAATTTGATTATATAAATTTAAGTCCTTGATAAAAATATCAGTAAGGTTTAATAGCAGTGGAAAGCTGTGTAGGATTCCAATGAGTCTGAATTTGAGAACAAATGTCCGTAAATGAGGTTTGTAAACAAGGTGCATGGAAAATCTTCCCATTTTAAGTGTGGAATAACCTATGATCAATTCTCAGTCATCAGGAGTTGGTGAGTTCAGTACATGAATCACTTGGGGGCAGCAATGGTGTTGGAGAGAGAGATGTGGGCTCCTGGCTGAGTAAGTAAGGTTTCTAAAGCGCACCTTGGGCACATCTCCCTATATTCTCTTGAGTTTCAGTTGTCCCATATGTTGAGTAGGAGTGTCAACTTGGATCCAAGCCTCCCAGACAGTGTGGGAGACTGTGCTGGGAGATATTCATCACCCAAGCCCTTGAGGCGAGCGCTCTGGGCTCCTTGCTTTGGGTCACCTGGGGTTCTTTGGTTTACTCCTGCATGCTGTGCAAGCATTATCATTTTCTATGTCTGTCATGATGGTGAGGAAACACTGATTTAAATGACTGCTTTGCTCCTTTCTCCCTCTGATGGTCCCTGATCCCCTAATTCCTTCACCTGTGCATTGTGCCGCTTTGGCCATATGTGTTCATATGTGGGCAGAGAACAGAAGTGCCCTGAAATACAAATAAGTCACACTTTGTCATAGCAGAGCAAATTATACATGTGATTTATTAAAGAGCACTTGAACTACTCACTTTAATAATTTTCAGTCACCTCCAGGACCCATTGACATACAGGCAAATATGCAGGAGAGGATAATTATGGAAAACCATATCTCTTTGTTGTTGTTGTTTAATCTGTTTCTTAACCATATGGTTCTAAATTGCCTTTTAAATATTTCTACAGATTGAAAACAACCTGACCTTTCAGAATCTGATGGACTGGACCAGTCCAAGAAAAATGAGCTCTCAGTATGTTGAGGTGTTTCTTCCTCGGTTCAAGATAGAGAAGAATTATGAAATCAAACGCTATTTAAGAGCCCTAGGGCTGAAAGATATCTTTGATGAGTCCGGAGCTGATCTCTCTGGTATAGCTGCAGGAGGTCGTCTGTATGTATCAAAACTGATGCACAAGTCCTACATAGAGGTTACCGAGGAGGGCACAGAGGCCACGGCTGCCACAGGAAGCAACATTGTAGAAAAGCAACTCCCCGAGTCTACGGTGTTCAGAGCTGATCATCCATTCCTATTTGTCATCAGGAAGGAGGACATCATCTTGTTTAGTGGCAAAGTCTCTTGCCCTTGAAAATCCAATTGGTTTCTATTATGATAGTCCCTACACCGTCAAGGAACCACCCCAAGTGGATAGATTTGAGTTTAATTGGAAGCACGTGGTGTTTCCTTTCGTTTACTTCCTTCTAACGTTGGTCGGCCGAGGATTTTGGTGACTTGACCCTTCTCAGACACCTGCTTGATGATCACGATCTTGCTCTCAGCATTTCTACCACCACCTGACTCATCCATTTCTGATTTCATTGTCTGTCTTCCCACACTCATTTCTACCAGTATCTCCCATGGCCACTTGCACACAGATCTGGGCATAACATCTGGAAATTGTGGAGTGCTCCACTGGTAATGACAGCGAGGAAGCAGCCCTGGGGATCTTTTCTGACACTCTGTAGCTATCACAGATATTCTAGTTTTATTGTAAATGATCTGGGAAGTAAGCCCAGCTGCTAGAAATAAGTGTGAAGCATAACTTTTTCTTGCTGACCTAAGAAGACATTAGAGCTTAGTTTAACATATCTGATTTGAAATCGATTTCTAATCTAGACGCTGAAAAATATGGATTTGGGATTGGGGGCCAACCAAAATATTTCATTAATAATTTCAAATGGATGTCTTTTGGCCTTTCCTTGATAGAGACCTAATATGTACATAGTTTTTCAAATATTAAATGCCTTTTAACTGTTGCCAGTTATTTACAGTATATTATTTCATATGCTATGTAGTTTACAAGTTTTTTCTCTGTTTATCAGAATAAAGAAATACAACAAATCTGTACAGTGTAATTGTTCTCCTCTGACCAATTGTGAGACTACCAGCTCTTCTTTTATTTTCCATGCCAAGGAAGCAAACATTAAAAGGAAGAATGCTTTTTAAATATAAATCTGATTTGGTTCAATGTTGTTAATTAATTACACGTGAAAGTTACTTTTACAGATACTACATAGGCTGATGAGCTAATTTTAAAGACTAGGATTTAAATTCATAAGAGGGAAAGATTATCATATATGAATATTTATAATAATCCATAAATAACTTTACAAAACAGATTTAAAATACCTTGAGAGTCAGTAGACCGTGCTGAACTTACTTAGGATTTTATAAACAGTATTAGCCTATTGAATTCTGTTTTCATCTCAAAAGACTTTTACCTGAATAGGAACTAGGTAAATCAGGAGTAGACTATAGCATGGCACTGTGGTGCCTGATACTAAACCTGGCAGATATTTTATTTTTAACAAATGTTGTGGAATCCATGAATATGGCATGAATGAGTTAATGTGGCATGATTTGAAAGATTAGAAAAGCTCCTGACTGAAATAATGCGATCACTAATCTGCCACACTGGAAATAACTATTAGGTCTTTCAGAGACCTTTATGGGGAGTGAAATTAACTGGTATACAGTGGTATGTTTTATTGCGAGAAACTGATTTTTCTGATTAATTCCATTCCCACCTATTGCCATTCAAAAATAACATATCCCTAGACTCTGTCTTTAGGTGGTAAAGATACAGGAACAGGATATAGGAGCACGCATTCCAATGGTGGCCATGTAGTTCAGAAGCATGGACACTCTTGTCTGCTGATAGGGTTCTCTGGGCAGCCATGGTGGGATGCAAAGCCACTGAGGTTTGAAGCAAGAATCAGAGAGAGTGAGAGTCAGGTCTGTAAGGAAATAGGATAGAAAAACTAATACCAGTTTGCCCTAAAATTTCAGTTCGTTGGTCCTGTCCATATGTCCACCTAGTGGTTAAAGGCCCAGCTCATGCAGAGAAGGGGTTGAAAAATATCTGAAAAACTGCTTTCTAAGGTCCCTTCATCTCTAACATTCTGAGACATCACTTTGGTCTCTCTCGGAGTTGGGGCTACAGCTGATCTGTAACTCGCTTCCTGTGGGAATCCTGCCTACATTTGCCATGAAACATGTTTGAAATCCTCACTCAGCAAGGGTTACTCCATTTCCGGATGCCTCTATGCCAGAGAGAACAGCATTTCATTCATTATGTCTCATCTTAGGAGTCAGAGAAAGAAACCTGTTACCAGTTCCCAAGGCAAAATGCCTCCTCTCTGGCTTTTAAAACCAATAATTTGCTGTCATAGCCAGAAGGTATGTGTGATATATACATACACATTACATTTAATTTTTAAGCATCTAATATATTTTGTTATTCTAAAGTAACACTCAATTTATTATGTAAAATCCGTGACATGAAATGTTTCCTTATTTTTTTTCTAAATCTCTTGGGTCATGTTGACCCAGGGAAGCAGTATATTTTACAATGCATACGTCAGCTGGCTCCCTCTCTACTGCTTTGTATAAATGCTTTAAATCACTTCACAATGCAAGGAAAAATGACTTGTGCAACTAAACTCTGAGAAGACAGGAGGATCAAGCTGTGGGTGCTGAGCGCTGTGTGTGTCTGTGTGTTGCAGATACAGCTCTGAGCTCACCCAGCAGAATTTTGACCAACTTGAAGACAAGGTAAAAATGCAAACATTAAATTGTACCTTCTTTGACATGATTTTTGTAATCAGTGATGACTTTTCTCAGAAAGTATAGGGGAAAATATTTAGTTGTAACCAAAGGAAAAAGACAGTGAGAGGTGCCATGGTTTGGGGATGTTGGTGGGGAGGCACAAATTGAAAACAAGGTGGTATGGTTCTCTTTTCAGCTATTCACACTTACTGAGTGAGCTTTTCGATGTCAAGGTTTCCAGTATTGTAGAGAGCCATTCCAATCACCAATCTTTACCCCCAACTTCAGGTAAGGACTTGAATGATGACTGAACTGATGCTGAATGAGAAATTTGTTTATCCATGCCTATGAACACCTAAGGAGAAATTGTGCTGTGTGGTAACAAAATTTATATCCTCTTTTTCTTGCTTATGTGTCTCTCTGGTAAATTAGAGGAAACGATGCTGAACGGTAAGTCAGGAAAATTGGGTGTTCATTCTGAATTTGATGTTTTCTAGCTATGTGGACTTGAGTAAGTCATGTAACCCCACTAAGCTCCCTTCAGCTTTCCCATTTGTAGAATTAATTTGGGGATCTGATATTTTCCTTCTCAAATCCATGCCTCTTCTTTGACTTAAATCCACATTACCTAGAAGGAGGAAGGAAGATAATATTATTGAATGTTCTATTCAGAGGCTTTATATTTGTTGTCACATTGAAAACTCACAACTTTGTCAGGTATCTGCTATTATCCCTATTTTATAAATAGGTTCAGAGAAGTCAAATAATATACTCACATGTATAGCAAAGGGCACAGTTCATGTTAGAACTCAATATTGAAAAGCTCTCCTTTATAAAGACCCATGATCAGCCATTTTAACTAATTGTCCCTTCACAGAGCAAACATGTGGTCTCGAATTCTGTGCATCCAATTAGAATTATCTGGTATAGCCAGAGGATGGTTTTCCATTGTAGGGTGACCATGAGTTACCAGGGCTCAGCTTCCCAAACAGCTGAATGAGGAGGGGAAAAACCAATGGGTCAACTGTCTCACAAACTCGGAGAAACAGATCCTGGTCTGCACATCTATTTTTATTTTCTTGTGAACTTGAACCCCATCTGATCCCCATTTTTCTCCCTCCTCCTATTCTATTCCCAGTTATATGACAAGGAGGCAACAGAAATATACTGATGTCTTAGAGGATTTTACTTCCATGTTGATGTGAACAGAGTGGTAGCTTTTCAAGCAAGTGGTAACATTTCTGGTCCCTATGAAATGTCAACCACACAGCCAGCCAAATTATTTAAACTTGCTCTTCTCTGTGTAAGAATTCTTAAGGCTGTTTTGTTGGAACCACACCTCTAGGCTGGGAAAAGTTGCTGCTGGGTGCCAAGGTATTAGCAAGGCATTATATAAGTTAATTCCTTCAGAAGAAAGAATTATGACTTTTCTATTCATAGTCTCACTCAAACCTGGCAACTACAAGTTTTCCTTCTCAGGTGCTCTCTTAGGAAACTTACCATATTGAGTCTCTTCCCCTTTTAAAACACACAGCATGAGCAAGGCAATTTCCTAAGACTTTTTAACTTTCCTAAGACTGATACAGTCCATTTGTATCTACAGCAGACAAGAGGAGAATTTCACTCCAATTCCAATATCTTAATGGAAGCCCCTTAAGGTATCTGTAGTGCAATATAAGTAACAGTACAGCCACCAAAAATACAGACTTGCAGCCTCCTGTTTCCAAAACTCTGACCAGATATCTCTAGCTAGGCCTGGAATAGGGTGAGGCAAGTAAGGCTCTTAAGGGAGTAAAATTTAAGGAGGCACTCATTCTTAGGTGCTGGCCCTTCGTTTATAAAACTCGGAGCATAAATGCCTCCTTCATTTTTGCAATGGGTGGCTCATCCTTAAGGAGAGGCTCATTCCCAGGGTCAGGATCACACAGGCACTGGGTCAGCACATTACAGTGAGTGCTTCCTTAAATTTTGCACCCTAGGGTTTTCCCCTCGTCCTAGTCCCCTCAGTAATCCCAAGAGACCATAGACTCCATGGCGGTTCTTCAAAATAGCCCCCCTACAAAGAAGAGAGATACAGAACATGCTTCTACAGTACATGGGGTCCCATTACTTGATTCCACCATGTACCAGGTAGAAGCAGAAATGCTAAGGTTTCCCATTATCCTCTAACCTCATTCCTCCAGACAGTGTCCAGGGCAAGGGAGGATTTAGTGACTAAAGAAAGAAAGGCAGGAATGAAAGACTGTCTTTCTGGAATGCCCTTCTTAAGTGACTTTGGGCTAGCTCCTTTGGAGAGGCTCAGAGCTCCTAAACCCTGGTGTGGTTGTGAGCAGCCACTTGAAGCTCTGCCAACCCCACAGACCCTAGAACAGGGAGCTCTGTCTTTCTGAATAAATATTTGAGGACAGCTTCATAGAAGAAAGTAGGATAATAATTCTGTAGGACTCTAACATGCTTAGTTATATTTCTTCCTTGCTTAAAAATATATATGAACTAATACTCTCTATTACACATACTGATGGCACCCCCAACCTACTGTGAGGAGATGTGCACTTCGAGATGTTTTCCAGTGGTGGGCACGGGCTTTGGCTGGTGTGTCCTTACTCTCGCTCAGTCAGTCCCTTTTGTGGGAGATTTTGAAAGCCTAGGTGAGGTCACGTGTCTATTGGGATCAAAACTATAGCCTTATCCTCTTTGTCATTACCCTAACCAAGTCAACTAACCTAAGCTAACAACAACAGCAACAATAATGACAAAATTCACTGACGTATTTGACCACTTACTTGCAGGCACAATCCCGGGCACTTTACAAACATTATGTAATTTAATCCTTATACTAATCCTGTGAGGAAGCTGCCATTTAGCCACTTTCACAGAAGAGAAAATAGACACTAGGAGAACTTAAATAACTTGCCCTGGATCATAAATCTGAATGTAGCAGAGTTGGACATGCATTTAATTCCAAAATCTGTGTTCTTTTTGCTTCCATAAAGCCCATCTTGGAACACTTAGGATTCACAAGATAGAAGTAATTCCTGTTCTAATTTAAAACAAACTGAAATAGTGGTGTTTTGACTTACATTTTTGCTGTGGTTGTTATTTGCCTTTGTATTCCAGACCCCAGGTAAAGGAATGGGCTCACTCAGTGCAGCAAATGCACAGTTCTGCTTTGATGTCTTTAAAGAGATGAGCTATGACCACACAGTGGAGAATCTCTTCTTTTCTCCCTTGAGTCTCCTGTCTGCCCTGGCTGTGGTGCTCTTTGGGGCCAGAGGG